CTTCGGTTCTGTGCCACATCGGTTAGTAAATTGTTTCCTCAGTCCTTCAATATGTTTACTTAAGTGATCCGATCTCAAATTGTTAACTGATTAATGTTAAGAGGCACTTCATGTTTACTTACGTGGTCCGCTTCATATTAACTTGAGTGATTCGATCTTCTATTATTAACTAGTTATTGTTAAGAGGCGCTTAGTATTCAAAAAATGCTTAACTCATGCCGATTCCACAAGTGTATTTCACTCAATTGCCTTACTGACTTCTAAGGTTGTCTGTCACAAGAGGACTATTCTTTGATCTCTTTCATACGCTCTTTGATAGCTGCTTGGCTTATCGCCTGGTTCACTGGGCTGTTGGCCTACCAAGCACTTGCCCGCAGCTCTTGCCGCCCGCCAAGCGACCAAACAAGAAGAGAAAGAAGAAAGACGAAGAATACAAGTAGAAATGGTCCAAATACATGAATTCCTCTTGGTAGCCCATTTTCTTTGGGTTGAAGCTGCATCCTCTAAGGTCTTGAATGCAAAGAAAGTAGCAAACTCCATAACATGGTAGTAGAGGAGGAGATGCGTCGGGTCCAAGGTGCGTGAATGTCCATACAAGGGTAAACAGATTAATACAATGAGATAGCAGAAGCACCAATACTTAACAAAAAATTTCATTTCATTTACTTGAATTTGAAATACAAAAAGTCCGAAGCCATTACAAAAGTTGGCCCTATTATACTGGAGGGTCTTCTTGGATCGTTTCTGCCTCGATTGCCTCCGGGGCCTCCGGAGCCTCCGGAGCTTCTTCAGCAAGCCTATTAGGCCGGCCTCCAGTTGATCCCCCGAACTTTGTCGCCAAAGAGGAGATGTCCAGAGTGGGGTGAACCTCTTTCAGTCGACCCAGTAAGCCTTGGGCACTCCAGGAGGCCTAAAACTTAGCGAAGTCGTCGTACAGGGGGTGTTCTTCGAAATGGTCAATGAAATTCTGAACTGCCACTTTCCCTGTCGACTTCAACTCCTCCTTCAAGGAGGTGATCTCCTCAGATTGAGCAACCTCTACTGGTGCAGGCCTATTCTCCGAAATGGCCACCCCGATTGGGATTGTAGTCTGCTTCAGAATGGGGGGTGGCCTCGCCACAGTTGGGCGTTTTGAAGGGGTGGCACTTGTTTTACCCTTCCGCAACAGGTCGGCCTCGGGGTCCTCTGGCACCTCCTCCTCCATCGAAGGCTGGAGCCTTTTACTGGCATCTACCAGGTCCTCCATTTGCTTCTTGTAGGTGGAGGAGGAGGTCTTCAGCGCCCGTGCCTCTGCTATCATCCTTTGAATGGTCTTAAAGTCAGGGCGCACGGGCATCTTCTTGTTGAAGTTGTCTGCAAGGAACAAACGATGAATTAGTACAAGTGTAAAGAGTTCAGAAATATTGAAGGGTAAAGACTTCGGGACAGTTACCTTGAGATGCCATCAAGTCGTGTGTAACGAAGTGTAGATTGCTTCTGAGGTAGCCGATAGATGATGCAAATGGTGTTGAGGTCTTTAGAAGACAGTTCGCAATGAGGAAGAGTACCTTCAAGAAAAATACAAATGTTAGTCAAGATCCGAACAGAAGAGAAATATAAAGAAACGCAACTGCGATACTCACTAAGTGTTGAGTACTTCACGGGGACCGTAAGAGGTGCCAGGGGGTCCCTTTCTATCGTATCGCATCGTCCTGCGGCCCAGCACCACGAGCTCTTCCACTCTTTGATGGAGCTCGACAGATCGAGCACAAATGGAGTATGGAAACCCCATGGAGTAAGGTAATACCAGCCTCGGGTCTTATCCCCCCTCCCCCCGACTGTTACTTTAGGGATATAAAGAGTCTGAAAAACGGAGAAGGGCATCTCAACCTCAAGTGACGCCTCTTTCCACAACATCCAGGAGCCCACCATTTGGCTCTAGGAGTTCGGATTGAGTTGGGTCGAAGCTAATCCATAGGACCTAAGTACCATCCTAAAGAAAGGGTGAATTGGAAACCTAAGGTCGGCTCTAAGGATCGCCTCACTTATGGTCACGCACCCCTGCCTAGGGTAGCAGTCCCTCTCTTCAGGCTCAGGGAGGATCAGATTTATGCTATCTGGAATCCTATATTCTACCTTAAGTCTCTCTAGGTCGGCCTCCTTTAGTTTGGAGAGGTAATCTGACGCCCTCCTAGTGCACAAAAGTATCAACCGGACTATCCGGCCTCTTCCATATATTCTCCCCCTAAGTATCGCTTCGGCTATATCGGAGGAGGTCGCCACAATGGGCTCGTCCCTCCTCACTAATTCTAGCCCCCTTCTCGAACCAGAACTTCCCTCAGAAGCCATTTTTCAGAAAGTAAATGTCCCAAAAGTTACTGAAACTTATAAATTCAGAGGTTTCCCCAGTCGAAAATGGTCGGGAAATGGCGTAAGGTCGTCGAAAATTGATATTTCTCACAGGAAATGCTCGAAAAACGTTGAAAATCGTGAATGATTTGAGAGCAAAGTAAATTTTCCGTTTGCACAAGGATAAAAAGCTTTAAAGATGCTCAAAGTCCGCCTTTTATAGAACGCTCCAGCTGATCTCTACCATTGAATTCAAATGCAATCAATCTAGGCCGTCCGTCGCATTATCAATCTAGGCCGTTGAAATGAAATGCCAGATTTGATCTACGCCTAAGATCTTGCTGTGACCCTCAAGCTCGCATAAAACACGTCACCTCGGTCACCACCAGCCGTCGACATTAAGTAGTCGCAGCAGCCTTTTAGGAGAATGGGCATGGCACCCAACTATCACCTTGAAAATACGCAACAACTGTCAAATCATTTAACGTCAGATGCGTGCCTCGGGTCGATCTCCTCACTTAACTTTACTAAGCTTAGACACACCTGACGCGGAGTCCCCTGTGGGTCATCGCCTCGGTCGCTACATCCCCTCCCAAACTTTACAAAGTTTTAGCCATCTCCCAACGCGTTGTCCCCTGTGGGTCAGCCCACCGGTAGCAGATGAGCTCCTCACTCAACTTTACAAAGTTTAGACGCACCTGACGCGGAGTTCCCTGTGGGTCATCGTCTCGACCGCTGCGTTCCCTCCTAAGCTTTACAAAGTTTTAGTCATCTCCCAATCCGTCGTCCCCTGTGGGTCAGCGTACCGGTGGCAGATGAGTTCCTCATTTAACTTTACAAAGTTTAGACGCACCTGACATGGAGTCCTCTGTGGGTCATCGCCTCGGTCGCTGCGTTTTTCCTAAGCTTTATAAAGTTTTAGCCATCTCCCAACGCGTCGTCCCCTGTGGGTCAGCGCACCGGTGGCAGATGAGCTCCTCACTCAACTTTACAAAGCTTAGACGCATTTGACACGAAGTCCCCTATGGGTCATCGCCTCGGTCGCTGCGTTCCCTCCTAAACTTTACAAAGTTTTAGCCATCTTCCAACGCGTCGTCCCCTGTGGGTCAGCGCACCGGTGGCAGATGAGCTCCTCACTCAACTTTACAAAGTTTAGACGCACCTGACGAGGAGTCCCCTGTGGGCCATCATCTCGATCGCTGCGTTCCTCCTAAACTTTACAAAGTTTTAGCCATCTCCCAACGCGTCGTCCCTTGTGAGTCAGCGCACCGGTGGCAGATGGGCTCCTCACTCACTTTACAAAGTTTAGACGCACCTGGGACGAGTCCACTGTAGGTCATCGCCTCGATCGCTATGTTGACCTTTTTCCTACGCATCATTCAGTCTTGCAGCACTTCGGTCTCACATGAGTAATTGTTTTCCTTACGCAGTAGCGAACCTTTAGAGCATCTACCTAAGATCATCGTTTCGGCGAATGCAGAAGATCGGCCCTCAAACTCCCACAAGTCATGGTCCATGTACCGAGGCATATACATCCGGTCGGGAAGGCAAGTCCACCCATGATATAAATATTCATACCTGGACTTGGGGGACCATTGTTACGCCTCTATCTGAACCACCTCGAAATGTCCACCACCACACACTCCGATCTGCTAGACACTCACCCGAAGTGGTTCCGAAGTGATCTCTCCAATGTCAACGACCTGCTATCACACTGCAAGACACAGGCGATCCTGCTGAACTGATCGAAGCGCCCTCGTCCCTGAGGCCGAGGCGAAGTGCACTTTGGGGACCTCTGTCAGAAGATCCACCGCCAATTTCAGAAGGAGATCTTTGCCAAGATCCTTTCTGCTCCTAAGGTTTAAATTGATTTGACGTCTCCATGAGGTTAGTTGATGTGACTTATCAACTTTATGTTAACTCAACTCGGGAGAAGCAATTACCCGCACACTCTACAGACGCGGCTAATTGACGCCTATGAGCAGACACCTCATACCGTCAGACGTATACACGTGCCCCACATCCAACAGTTCATTCCACCTATAAATACCCAAGGGTTGACAAGAGGTAAAGGTAATGAAACTCTTACTACATAGCACTCCATAGCAAGTATATATATATATTTTCCCCTCCCCCTTATTATTTTGCACAACCCTTCGATACTGTTCCGACCACCTGAACTTGACTTGACCGTTGGAGTGTATACGGTCGCCACCACCCCCGTTGGTCCCAGTCGTGTGCGTCTGATCGTGTGTTGATTGTGCACAGGCAAGAATACGTGGAGTAGCTATCGATTGGCCATGTAGAAGGTCCAATTTTTTAGGTCAACAGATTTGTACGGTGTTTTGAATGTGTAGTTGGTAGGTTCTTATTGACGTTTTGGTAGTTGTAAAAAAAAAGGTTAAACCCTAATTTTAAGGGTCCCCCACCACTCTTACCCTGGAGTATCGTGAGGGAGGTAAATCACAGGTTATGCCTTCAAGGGTATAGGGTGGAAGGCTACTTGTACACTTGTACTTACCCAATAGCTAAATCCATATTTCAGAATTCGAACTCTTGACGCAGCAGCATCAAGTAAAGCTGGATTTCTCCACCCTCCCGTTTTGATAGTTGCATGTTGGTGATGGCGTTGTGTAAGTGTTGATTGTTGTCCAGTCATCCAAAGGAACCATATATTTATCGTTTAAAGTGAAATGGCTTCCTGTTGGTTTACCTTAAGATATTTTCTCCCTTCCTGTTGGACCCTGATGGCGTAGTTCAGATAAATTATTTCTCCTTGGACTCTCAGAACCTCCACCTGCCTTCAAATGGAGAGCATTTCGATGATTATAAATCTTCTCACTCTTTTAATCCTAGTTGGATCGAGGCCGGTTCGGAGGATAACTCTACTCAAGAAACACTACAATTTCTGCTCCGATTCCAGCAGCGATAGGTCAGATTTTCGAAAATTCAACGATTTTGGGGGCAAAATATGGGTTTTCTCAAATACGAGGAAAAGCAGATCATTTCTAAAGGAATTGAAGAAGCAATTCAGGAAAAGGAGATAAATACGGAGAATATGGAGAAATTTTATGCAGACTCTGATGAAATGGAAGTGCGTTCCGCGAATTTTAATTGTTCTCAAGATTATTCTGAAGCGTGCACTGAAAAAAGCACTGTTTTATGCGAAGACAAGTGTGAAGATAAGGCATTTGGGAATGTGATGGACTGTATTGATGGAGATGGAAATAACACAAGTAGTGAGATTGCTAAGAGGGGTGTGGTGTGGTGGAAGATGCCAGTAGATTTTTTGAAATACTGCGTCTTTAGAGTGAGTCCAGTGTGGACTGTCTTTATGGCAGCTGCGGTAATAGGGTTTGTGATTTTGGGTCGTAGATTGTATAAGATGAAGAAGAAGACTAAGGGATTGGAGATTAAGGTTACTGTCGACGATAAGGTCAGAGAATTTTTTCCACTATTTTAGTTTATTTTACTACCCTGATAGTATTTTTGGTTGGATCTGCAAATAGCATTTCTCATCAGTTTTAAGAAATGTTCGTCTTTTAATCATTGTATTGTGACTTTTGAGACTGGCAAAAACATTTTCTCCAAATTTACTTTGGTATTCCTTTTGAAATTATGTATTTATAAGGATTATGAGAAGAGAACAATATGGTCAAGTCTGGAAGAATTGTCAGCTTAGCTGCTTAGAAGCCGGAAAGTTTCGACTTTTGTTCATGGATTATGAATCTGTTGCTTTATTGAAATTTTGCATTTCATTTCCCATTGAATAGCGGCGCTTAACTTTTTAGAAGATTCTTTTATTTTGCTTCATTTTTGTTTATGAGCAAAATAAAGTTAGCTTGCTCGGTAGAATCCCATTCACCTCCCTGAGTTTTGGGATCAATTCCAAACAATTCCCTGATGGTTGGGGGGAAGTTCTTATGACCCTATATAATTGGACGGTGATTGAAGTTGTTATTCTCTATATATATCCACTTGCTCTAGTATTGGTCTATTAGGCCCATATCCAAGTACACAGCAGGCCTGGTTTTAGATTTATCTAAGGACCGCATTTTCGCCATTTTTTTTTAGACAAGGAAAATCGATTACAAACTAGGTCTGCCATGGAATTATCAAAGAAAATAGTTATTTCTAGGACAAGGTAGACTATGCTAGGGTAGACCCTCTATCTCTTGTGGCTGCAAAGACTAGTAGTGAAAATCTGTAATGGTTTCTCTTTACATATACTGGTTACTTGATTGTTTCGATGTAATTGGTCTTTCCTTCATCAAAATATGAACATCATGGACATCTTAGCCGTGAATGATTCTTTCTGAACTTTAAGGCTGCTTACTTGACTTACCTGTAACTCATCAACTGCCAATCCTATGGGAGTGGACTTTATCAGTATATGTTTTTTTCATGGATGTTCCTCTGCATTTTCTAGGTTCTCCTAGGTTATGTTTTTGCATTATTTAAATTTGGAAGATTACACGTGTTTTCTATTTTGCTGGAATAGTTTTACTACTGAAATCTGAATAACATTTGAATGTGAGGTGTCATTGGCCTTTGGGAATGATTTTACTACTGAATACTGATGATTTGAAAAATGATGGGAAGCTCTTCCGTAGTACTATGTTTTAGAGGATCCTGAGTGAAAATTTAATCTATGATTGTCTAAATCTTCACATATTTCTTATTGTTCAAGAACATATAGTTCCTTTATTAGAGGGTTTTCATTTTCATTTTTTTTTCTTGTAGAAGTTATCTCAGTTCATGAGCCATGCTGCTTGTCTGAATGAAGCATTTTCTGTTGTGAAGCGGGTCCCAGTGATCCGCCTTCACTGTCTGCAATTGGGGTACAAAGATGGCCTATGATGAGTTTGAGATAAGTGAAATATCTGTAACGTATATAGCATGAAACAGGACGTTATTGTCATGTTCGGCATGATGTTTTCATATATTTCTTGGATAATCTGGGTTCATTAAGTTCCATCCACCTCATCGAAAATTCTATGTAAAACTCTTTATGCTATATAGGACTGGTTCAATTCTCCATGCCTATTATGCATGTTCCTAGTCTTTTGAATTTTTGGCATGAGGGGTTTTTTAGCAATCATACTAACAGTCCGTTGACTCTTTTTTAGTTACTTTGATGAAGAATTAGAAGTTGTAGTCCTTTTAACTTGGAAAATATCACCATTGGCCATTGACCACGCTTTCTCTTTACACCTCTTAAGGAGCGGTTTATACAATTTTAACTCAACTTACTCGAAAATTAGGTAGCTGATCCCAATTTTGAAAAAGAAGGAAAGTTTTCTAAATTAAAAAAAAATAATAAAAAAATTCCTCGTGTTCATGCTGGCTCTGCCCATTGCCATCCATAATGGAATCCAAAAGAGATACATTGAAGTTAAAACCAAAAAATAAGAACGAAGGTTAATATTTTCTTTGATCTCGTCCTTTACCCCTTCTCGTTTATATGGTTAGTTCTTGGGTGGATGTATACTTCTTTGACCTCAGTATACAATGTAAGTTTTCTTTTGCTTTGAATTTGCTGTATAATTGTGAATTCAATGCCTGATCTTGCTTTATGAGGACGAGCTTTCTGTTCATATTTGCAGTTCTAGCTACTTGTCAGATTAATCGTGCATATTATAAAAAACTCTAGTTTCTGAACTCTTTATTTCAAGCACTCTTTAAAAGCGCCATGCTTGAGTCTCGATAAGTGTTTACTTGATAATTGGTGGTTGGCAAAGCAAGTTGACTCACTAATTAACACAAATTTGTTTTCAGCTGAAAATAGCTTAGAAGCTTCTAGTTGAGTTCCATACTTTGCAGGTGTGTGTGTGTGGTTACTTGTGCAAGGCATTGGGGTTGTGACAAATGGCGTGGTAAAATACAGGCTATTAAGTTACCAAAGTTCGAGACATGGGTCCTCAAAGTAAACAGTAGAATAGGGTCTTTAGGTAATAATAGGGATGTCAAACGGGCCAAGCACTTCGTTGGCTCGTTAAAACCCAGCTCGTGGACGGCTCAATCCCACGAGTCGAGCTTGCTCGGCTTGTCAAGCCCACGAGCTCGTCAAAAAATATGAAATTTTTTTTTTAAAAAAAGGTCCAAAAAATGTGCAAGTTTACCCGAAAAAAAAAAAAAAATTTAAAAAAATCACATTATATTTCACAATTCCACAACTACTGTTGCTGTTATCTTGTGTCACTGAAAAAATTTAGAAAAACATATTAAATGGGTAGTCAATTTATAATGAGTGGCTCGCCACGAGCTCGGCTCGGGGTGAAATGGTCGAGCCGAGCCCGGCTCGGCCCATCGCCATCCCTAGGTAATAAGATCAACTAAGTGGAAATTAGAGCAGTGCTTGGAGACAACATTTCAAATTAACATTAAGAGTTTTTTCCTTAAAAAATCAGATGATAATTCATTTGTTAAATATATTAATTAATTAAATTAAAATACACCCACCCAACCCTATTTTATCCCATATCGTAATTTCATTTTCCCTTTATCCCACCCTCTCTCTCCATCGGAATCTCCACTCTCTCTTTCTCCCCCCCATCTATCTATCGGCGGCGGCGTCATGTGGTTGATCTTATTTTTTCTGACCAAATTTGCCGTATGTGGCGGGTTTTTGTTTTTCTGATCAGATTTGTTGTGTGGATGGTGATGGTGATGGTGTAGGTGGTGATGTGGTGGCGGTAGGGATAACAATCGGACTCGTCGACCTGGAAAAAACCCTAGCCCCAAGCTGGGTTTTTGGGCTAAGCCCGACTTGGCTCGGAAAGGCTTGAGCCGAAAACTCGGGGCAAGCCTAATTTTTTTGGCCGAGCTTTTGCTTGGCTTGGCTCGGGCCCGAAAATAATGCTAGGACATTTTATCCGATCCGAGCCTGAGCCAAAAATTTCGGCTCACGATCCGGCTTGGCTTAGTTCGTTTATATCCCTAGGTGGTGGTGGAGGTTGATAAAGTAATTTCCATTAAAAGAAATGCAAATGTAGAAAAACAGTACATAAAAACATTTCAGAAATTAATAAGAGCTAATTGTTGAACATTCATAGGATGGCAGTCAGTAGGAGGGCCAGCATAGGCCCTCTGAGCAAGAATGGCATCAACTTTTTGGGTGGGATGGAAGGCATCCCAGAAAACATACTGGTCCCTGTTGTAACATGGAGTCGCAAATGGAAGACAAGTTATCTGCCCTTGGTTTGTCCCTATGCCACAACATCCTCTATCCACCACAATAAACCCAAATCTAGATGGATTGTTCAAGATATCACCAATGGCACCATAAGAATTTCCATAGACAAACATGGCACCAGGGTGGGTGCCATTGTTCATGATGTTCACTAGTGACTTAAGCCCTTCATTAAACGCACCCAACATTTGATTCACGTAGTCAACACATCTTCCTGGGGGGGCCTGTCCAGTGGCTAGTTGGTTTGGGATGCATCCCAGGGGTGCTATTCCTGGTAGCACAAATTTCCTTAGCCCCACGCTGTACAGCGCCTGTAACATCAAACCAATGGTTTTATTGTGAAATTTATTAATAGTTTTGTAATGTAATTGTTCATAAAGAGTAATTACTAAATTAATGTACCACAAGTTGTCGAGCATAGTGATTTAGAAGAAGGTTGGCAAACTCAGGGGGACGGTAATTGTAGCTTGAAGGGTACATAGAAGGCAGTAGATAGTTATTGATGTAGTCATTACTGCCAATAACAACTAGTGCTATGGACTTTGCCAAGTATCGACTCAAGTCACCTCCACTCATCATCTTCCTCAATTGACCTAAAGTTGTCTCGAAATTAATCACTTGTTGACTTAACGCGTACCTCTGTCCCTGTATGTGTACATGGTTGACAGTAAATATATTTTTATCAATAATAGTATCAGAATCATGATATATAATAGTAACTATATACATAATGTTGGCCTGTTTCATCGAGGATGCCAGCAGCTGCGGAAGCAAAATTAACTCCTCCAAGGATTCTGGCTCCAGATGTGGTGGGATCTGCAAAGGATGGAGGAGAAGGAACTCCCAATAAATCTCCTGAAATAAATAGATGAAATGTCACAGAAGTAAAATATAAAATTGTGAATCAATTAAATTGAGATATTTTAACAAGTTGCGTACCAAGATAATCAGCAAAAGTTCTTCCATTGGAAAATCTACCAGTGGGCCCTCTGTTGAAATCCACACCATATGGATAGTAATTTGCTTTTGCTATGGATTTGAGGAAGTTGTTATTTCCATTATCGACTAATGAGTCCCCAAACACAAACAACGCGGTCGCCTGTGCTGACCCTTCTACCCCATTCATAGTGGAGCCTCGAAAAACCAAAGCTACCATAATCAACCACCACATGGTCTTCAATTTGGCTACCACCACAATTTTTTTTTTAAATTATTAGAAACAATAAGACCACCTTTGAATATGGAAATAAAATGGATATTTGTCAATTTAAAGGCACTGGAAGCTTGGTGGAATACATATGGTTGTGATATGGATTGGTCTATCCATTTGAAACCGTTTTGTATACATTATGTAATCAAATTCCACAAAATGCTGCTTTTCAAATATCTTTTCCTAAATTTAGTATGACCTTTCTAACGTCTTTAAATACCTTTTTTTCATTTGGATGCATTAATTTTCTAAATTTTCTTTCATCAAAAATAAAATTCATGTGAACGCTTCATTCGCAATGAAATGCATGTGTGGCAAGCATGAATCTGTCAACCTAGTTGTACAAAATTGGGTGTACAAGTAGGTTAATTCTTAAACTAGTAATCTTCTATTTGCTTCCCATTTGTAAGAATACGAAAACATTAAACAACAATAGTCATTTATTCATAGGAATACCGAAATTAGACAAAGAATTAAGATCACTTCATTTTTATAAAATAACAAACTTCAGTGAAACTGTACAAAACAGTTTACTTTTTACGGTTTACGGCATGCATTCGCATACCGTAAGATAGATGATATTTTTATGACATGCATTTAGTGCACGCAGTAAATATAAATTTCATTTTTAAAAAATATTTATTTGTTTGAATATCAACATACCTAAATAATTAAAGAACGAAACTAGATAGCGTTCTTCTTGGCAAGCAAGTATTAGGACAAGTTTTACAGCTTGTAACTAGGTTAGCAAATATAGGATTGATGTATGCTATCTATTTTGTTTTAGTCTGTGAGGCTAAGGAGTCTTGGAACCAAAACAAAAAAGGGGGGAAAAAAAAGAGAGAAGAATTGATCCTATGTACCTTTTTTAAATAACTAACATGACAGCTTACACTTCGAGTTAATGAAGAGCAGGTTCAACATATATCAAGCTAAGAATTTTTCTAGAAACATCGATACTTGCCATATGGTCTAATCAATTGATGCAATTGAACTGGCTGTTGTAGTTGAAGTGGATCCTAGACCTGGTTTTGATTGAGATTTTGATTATTAGTCATTTTCTTGCTATTTTTTGTTTTCATATATATTGTTTTGAAAGTTCTTTCGATCTCGAGATCTAATGTAGCGAGCTCGATCTCTTCAGAATTTTGCGTAAATTGGTGATAACATGAGAAAAACAAAATAAACCAAGAGAATTTAGGTAGAGTGATGAATAACCTAAAACAAAAAGAAAGTCGAATTTAATATGAACTAATAAAATACAAAAACAAATTAGTCATTGACAACACCTCCAAAAACTTGTCTAGACAAAACACACAAGCGTACAGGATTGTTGACAAGTGATAGATTTAATGAGTCAAAAGTATTGTCTCACCAAGAATAATTGTAATTATAGCTTACTAGTTGTAATCATATTCAATTTAATGTAATACAAAAGAGTTGATCTTTTTGTAATTATCCTAAATTAAGCTAAAATTACTATAAAAAGATTGGTTTTTAACAAATAATGGGATGTGTATATTGGATTTCAGGATTTGACTTATTGATCTCTATTTCCAATTCTTGAATTATGTAAGTTAGTGTTCCTTAAGTGTTCATGACAATCGATAATCCATTAATATCTAATATTATTTTTCAAAATATATTAAATCTATTCTAAGCAAAACATGATCATATTCTCAGTTCGAATTCATATGCAAAGAAAGAAGTCAATCACATGATTATCACAACAGATTGCATGCAGCATAAATGTTATTTCTAACACCCATTGTTCATCTGTCAAATATGCAATGTTCTAACCTATTGTGATTCTTCCAACACTACAATAAGCAATTATTTGTTGAATGGTGATCAAGCATTCAAACAATGAAATAAGTATGCATAAGTGATCATGAACACAAGAATGCACTATAATATCTAATCTTTGAATTAAAAAGGAAATCGATAAGTTTCATCATTCATCCAATACAAAAGAAATTTAGCCTAGCATCATGATATTCAAATTACACACAAGAAAAATGAAAAGACATCATCCAAAGTAAAAAAATAGATGAAGAATTCAAAAACTTAATTTCTTGCATGAAAATCTTCAATTCGAGCCTTGAACTTCAAATATTGTTGTAGAAATCTTCTTCTCCACTTGCTAGCCTCTCTTCAATGATAAAAAATGGTTAATAATATTCTGTACCTTTTTTAG